AGGCTGTGAGGTAGTGGTGCTAAACACCGAGCCACCATGCCGCCCCTACCCACTGGAGAACTTTTCTATGACTTTTCCTGCATCTTTCTGAAAATTCTTGTTTTCTGCAGTTATTTCCCCCAAGTACCTCCAAAGACTGAAGCTAAACTTTACTGTTGACTCATTTGCTGTAGGCTGGAGTTTGTATGCTAAACTGCATTTTGATGCTGTAGTTTAAGTTGCAGTTCCTACGTTGCCAATTTTGAGCAACTGTGATGGATACCCAGATCATTGCTGTTCTATTTTATTTTTCTAAGAAAGACTTCTGCATTGATGTCACTGTATGTATCCTGTTGACATTTGTTATATTTTTATGTTTCCTGTCCAACAGCCTCATCTGTACATCAGCTGTCACATTTTATAGGAATTATCTTTAAACATTAATCCAGTGTGAATGCTGGTAATGACCGTCGTATTGGATTTTGAATTTGCAAAGCAATTTTTGTAAGGAGAATTACGTCTCCAACATCTATCAAACCTTCTGCCTGTATAAAATTCTGGAATTAAGGTTGTGGCTAATGTTTAAATTTCATTCGAGTACACACACAAATCCAGTTCTGTGTGAGAGAATGCAGTAGGGTTTTCACTGTTGAGTGATAGTATCTGCTGATTTGTACTGATTTTAGCATTAAAATCTTGTGATTATATCATTTATAACTGGAATATTGTTTTTTTTAAACTTTTAGTCTGGGTGAATTTTGTTCTATTTACCTATTCTTGGTAAATGTAATAATCATTTGTTCAACTGCTTTGCTTCATCAGCTTGGTCCTATTGTTTTATCTCCCTGTTCCTTCACTCAGAGCTTTGAACTCTCCAGATCACAAATTTTAGCGCTTTTCTAGTTAAGATTCCAGTTTCAGCAGCTCTGTTATTGGCATTGTGTTAAACTTGCAGTGATTGATTAACGTTGAATGCTTCAAAATCCCATTTGAACTGAGTAGTATTATTCTGCTAGCTATCACCAACTGCTATCATTTTGGTTTTTAAAAAATCAAATTTCTGTTTTAATAAGAATCTCATAGGGACTTCTTTATCTTTACTTTCCACATGCTGGACTATGGTATTCAACCATGCTGAGTTAATGCTTTCTGTTATAATACTGCAATTTCATAGACTTCACTCCATGGTTTCAGTCCTTGGGTACGTGCAATATCAATGAGAAAACCGCAAATGTTAAAATCTGTGGCTCCATAAATTTGCACAAAGTTCAAGTTGTATACTTTTTTAAATTCACTTGCTGAATGTGGGCTTTGCTAGTCAGGAAAGCATTTACTGCCCATCTCTTTAATAACCATGAGAATGTGGAGATGATGGGTTACTTATGCCAATGCAAAACAGGGTTGAATTTACATCACTGTTGTGATTTATTTATCAATGTGAGTACAATGCTAAAAACAGTCCTTTCCAAACCAAAGAGAACAAACTAGCAAATGAAACCAGACATCGAAGGTAGACCTTGTTTATTGTTCAGGAACTGGATTTCCATGGCTTAGAGCTCCAGGTTGAATACTTGAAAATAATCAATGAGCATCCTTTAAGACAAAAAAAAACTGCAATGGATGCTGCAAATCTGAAATAGACTAAGACATACGAGCAGAAGTCAGCCATTCAGCTGATTGAGTCTGCTCTGCCATTCAGTGAGATCGTGGCTGATCTGATGATCAACTCCACTTTCCTGCCTTGTCTCTATAGCCCTTGATTCCGTTATTGATTAAAAATCTATCTTAGCCTTGAATGACCCAATCTCGACAGCCTTCTGAGGTCAAGAATTTCACAAGTTCACTATCCTCTGAGAGAAGAACTTCCTCTTCATTTCTGTCTAAGATAGGTAAACTGTTATTGGACATTTATACCGTATGGTTCGAGATTCCCCCACAACAGGAAACGATGTTTCCCCATCTACCCTGTCAAGTTCTCAAAGAATCTTGTATGTTTCAATGAGTTCACCTCTCATTCTTCTAAATTCCCATGCTAAGAAACCCAACCTACTCATTTTTTCTTCATCTTGATATCAGTCTAGCGAACCTTGTCTGGATTGCCTCCAATACCAAGATATATTTCCTTATATAAGGGGCCCAAAATTGTTACAGGATTCCAACTGTGGTCTGACTTGTGCCTTGTATAGTTTTAGCAAAACATCCCTACTTTAATACTCCATTCCCTTTCAAAATAAAGGCCAACAGTCCATTTATCACCCGCTGAACTTGGATGCTAGCTTTTTGTGATTCATGGACAAGGACTCCCTCTGTTCTGTAGCCTTCTGCAGTTTTTCTGTGGTTAAATAATATTAAGCTCCTCTTCTCTTCCGGCCAAAGTGCATAACCTCACATTTTTCCAAACTGTTCTCCATCGTATTAAAAAGAAATATACCTTTCCAGTGTTTGTGGTGAGACAAACATAAGAACATAAGAGCTAGGAGCAGGAGTAGGCCGTCTGGCCCTTCGAGCCTGCTCCGCCATTCAATAAGATCATGGCTGATCTTTTCGTGGACTCAGATCCACTTACCCGCGTTCTCACCGTATCCCTTAATTCCTTTATTGTTCAAAAAAAATCTACCTTATCTTTAAAAACGTTTACTGAAGTAGCGTCAACTACTCCACTGGGCAAGGAATTCCATAGATTAACAACCCTCTGGGTGAAGAAGTTCCTTCTCAATTCAGTCCTAAATCTGCTCCCTCTAATCTTGAGGCTATGCCCTCTTGTCCTAGCTTCACCTGCCAGTGGAAACATCCTCTCCACTTCCATTTTATCTATTCCCTTCATAATTTTATATGTTTCTATAAGATCCCCCCTCAATCTTCTGAATTCCAATGAATATAATCCCAATCTATTCAGTCTCTCCTCATAAGCCAACCCCCTCAACTCCGGAATCAACCTAGTGAACCTCCTTTGCACCCCCTCCAGTGCCAGTACATCCTTTCTCAAGTAAACAGTTAACATTTGAGGTGGATGACCTTTCATCAAAATGATCTGTTTACATTTTACCTATTTATTTAATTGTTGTCTGCTGTATATGACGTTATTGATTCCACAAATGCAATGGTACTTCAGGTATGTGGGTTCTAATGGACATCACATTAACAAGACTGTAGGGATCAGTTTGATCATTGTATTTTACATAACCACAGATGTTTTCAACTTTTGTTGTGGAGTCTTTCTTGAGAATGAAGTTTATATAGTTTACAGTGCAACTAACTGAAGGTTTAACATATTACATTTGTCTCTTTCTGTGCTATAAATGCATTCAACACAACAAATCCATGCATGTGTTTACGCTCAACATGACCCTCTCATCCTTCATCCACCATCATCAACACATCCAATTTCTTTTTCCCTAATGTTCATCCTTTTAAATGTATCAATGTACCAATCTAACTACACTTTATGATAGTAAGTTACACATTCTCGTCAAGCTCTGGCTAAAGGAGTTAAAGATAGGGCACTGAACCTGAAACAGTAACTCTGCTTTCTCTACACAGATGCTGCCAGACCTGTTGTGATTTTCCAGCAATTTCAGTTGTTGTTTCTGATGGCCAACATCTGCTGTTCTTCGGGTTTTTTTGTTTTCCTTAGAAAAGCAAGGCTGAAGGTTGAATTAATTGAGGTGTATAAAAAATTGGAAGGCTTGGTTAGAGTGGGCAGGGAAGATCTGTTTTCCCCTAGCAGTGAGGTCAATTACCAGAAGCACAGATTTATCATGAGTGGTAGAAGGATTAGAAGGGAAATGAGAAGAAAAAAATGTTCAAATAGAGGGTGGTGGGTGTCTGGAACTTCTGTCCTGTTTTGATGGTTGAGGTGGAAGCCCTCCACTCATTCAAAGGAAATCGGGATCTACACCTGAAACTGCAAGGCTACAGATCAAGCGTTAGAATGTGGGATTAGAATGGACAGCTGGTGTATTCAGCTAAAACAGACAGAATGAGCTGAATTTCTTCTTTCTGTGCTGTCATCTTTCCATGATTAAATGCCATGAATACCATGTTAGTTTCCTTGACAAATGTTGTGGTGAAATAATTTAATGTTAATTGACATAACTATAATAATATGGCTTGATAGATGAACGTTTATTAAATAATCATTTTGGAATGAAATAATAGTGGAACGAGAGCTGGAACTATAACCAAACTAGGTTTTTTTTCAATGATATGCAATTCAAAGGAACTTTGTGTAGGTATAGGAGACCATATTATTTTACTGAAAGGTGTCAATAATTAATTTGAATTGGTTGGTCTCTGGCATCACAAATACACCCCACTTATTTCCTAATGATGCAAAAATGGGCTATTTAATTAATTAATTGAGTCTGGCTTAGAAAGGATATTTGAAGGTGACCTTTCTGGTTTTGTAGCTATGTAACCACTTATTTTAAAAGCTGAAGACACAAGTATTGTTTGAAGAATTAAGAGTTATCTTAACAGCAAGGCTGTTCTTCCTAATGTCTTGACCAATATTTATTCGTCAAATAATTCACCTGAACAAATTCTCTGGGGTTGTGTTTCCTATGTTGCAATAGACACACTCCAAAATTGGCTGTAAAGCACTTTTGGGACGACCTAAACTTATGAAAGGCGCTATATAAATGCAAACTATTAATTTACCGATGTTGCGCATCATACCCTACCATTGATCCCCACCCTTACTAAGCACACTCCGCTACAGGGAAATCTGAGCACTTTGGACTGCAATTTCTGTGAGCTGTAATGTGAAGGGTTATGTTGATAGTTTGGTTAAAGGGGGTGTGTAATTAATTGCTTGCTCGGTTGGGGGGTTGCCAGATCTAATTTTGTACGAATTTTGTTTTCATTTGTTTTCAGCTGTTTCTACCGTTTCAGTTGAGTCAGAAGCAGTACATGTTATAGAAACAATTGTTAAAATGCTGGTCTAAGCTGTTGAATTTACTCGTAATAATGGGTTTGTCGTGGAGTGCCGTACATTTGGTGTTCCGTATACCTCAATAAGTAACGTCATCATGTTGGGAATACATTAGATTGGCCCCTTATTTTACTTCCTCATTACGTGGGACACATGGGTGGTTTCACAACTAATTAGAACCTATTTAACATGGCTGTAGAATCCAACGGGACCTATCCAAAATTAACGATTGTTCTCTACCATAGAACAACTTTTCGTATTTGGCTTATGCGTGTTACTACAATTTGCCTTATGACCCCACAAAGTGCCCAAAATCTCAAACAACTACAACTGGCTCAATCGGCGCACTGTAGATATTTGGTGCTATGTACACAGGGAGTGGAGCAAGTTTAAACTGTAACTAACCCTAGTACATTCTGAACCATCTGCAGAGCCTTAATGGTGTTATTGACAGCAAGTAAACGCTAAACATTGCCCTTTACCTGTTTGACAACCACTGATGTTAGAAGGATCTGGGGCGCGGGCACAGAGAGAGATAAATGAAAGGTTAAATTTAGAAGGACGAGATGCTGATTGGACTTGCGATTGTCTGTACCTGTTATGGACTAACTGGGCGGTTCCTGAGTGATCTCTAGTGCTCCTAAGGGCTACGTTCTCACACGCCTTCTTGCAGCAATCTAAACTCAAGGCAAACTCCAACACACTCTGGAGGTGACAAGTGACGAACTTGGAAACGGGCGTTAAGCAGCAGTGAGCGGGCAGGATGACATCTGTGAGTGTGAGCAGCAAGTCATCATTCTTCAGACCGTTTGCAGATGCAGCCCCTGGGCAGCAGGACAGAGCCAGTCAAGAGGGACACATGGCTGGGAGCTGTTCTTCGGCGCACTACATGGCCCAGCCTGAAGTGACCGAGAAGAAAGGCAATCCGAGCTGGGAAAGTGAGCCGGAGGACGGAGGCTACCTGCATCCAACTGAGAACTTCACACATGAAGAGCTGAAGGCAAAGCCAGGCCAGGAGCAGAAACCAGCCATGTCTTACATCGCTCTGATAGCCAACGCGATTCTAACTTCCCCCAACAAGAAACTCAACCTGGGCTCCATTTATAAATACATCGAAGACACCTTCCCCTATTACAAAGGTCGTGGCCAAGGCTGGAGGAACAGTGTTCGTCACAATCTCTCTCTCAATGAGTGTTTCATTAAAGCAGGGAGATGTGAGGATGGCAAAGGCAATTACTGGAGTATACATCCCTCCAACCTCGATGATTTCTCCAAAGGAGATTTCAGACAGCGCCGGAGGTGCCGCAGGAGGGGGCGTGCAAAGGAGCTGGAAAGTAAGTTAGCTGTGACTTACCCGAGCTGTCCGTTCCCAGTGGAGCCCCTCGCCCTGAACTCGCTGTACTCGCCGTACACCGAGCAGGAGCGCAGGGCGTACCGGCTGGATGAGGTCCTATACAGGCAGTACATCAGCAACCCCTTTTGGAGGTGGTACCACAACTGCAGGAACCCTGCAGGCCCTGGCTGCGATGCTGGCCTGAACACAGGGGCTCAGTGGCAAGGTTTGGGGGAGAATGGACCCCCTCCAAATTTCTTCAAAACTGTCAACAATTGACTTATAGAGAAAGCCTAGACTTCCCTGGAATGTTCAGACCATTACCACAGCCCAGAGGCAGCATTAGTAGCTCTGTAACTAACTCCAGTATGTCTCGATGTGTGTAAATGTGAGAGTGAAGTTCTACGCCGTATTGTAACTGCTCACTCGATGCTGGGAATAAGTAAGGACAACACTCTCCCATACCAACACCTAGGATTTCCCTGGCGCTTGTAGTCACATCAACATAGAAACAGTTCAACCTAAGGCACCGAGCTCCAGATTATACAAGGAACTCCCTGACAAGCTGTAGATTCAGCTATTCCAAACGCTTGTTTTTTAATGAATTTGGTAAAATGAACTGTTGGTTTTACATCCAGAAGTATCCAGAAGAACTGTTGTCCTCCTCTTCATGTCCAAACGGACGAGCCCCTCGATTGTTACTGAATGATTCCGTAGCTCCGCTCTGTAACCTATTGATTTGATTGTTACTGGGGAATTGATGTGTTGTTGCTTTTGTGGTTAAAAGTCCTTTATTGTGTAAGAAAAAAAATATGTATACAACGAAATAAAAACGGTCGGACCTAATGATTTTGTTTCAATTCACATCGTTGTTATTACAATATCTAATAGATTATAAAAACACTTATTTTGGATTATATACCATTAATTAACTAAAATCCTGTCAGTACAGTGCCTGAAGATAGAACTACCCCTGTAATTGATTAAATTAGTGATTGTTTCCAGTCCGCAGCCGTATTCAGACGGGATGATCGATGTGACTACAAAGCACATCTCAGTTAATACACTGTTCTTGCCTTTAGTGAGACTGCAGGTAACTGAAAAATGAAGTATCACCAGGCAATGCCGATCACATTCTCACTCCCATATCTAAAGTTCTTGTGAACCTAGAAGGAACGATTGCCGGAGATTGGAAAAATCATAAACCTACAAAACAAAAATCTCGAGAAACAAATGACCAAAAAAAATCTTCGATATTCGTGATGACCCTCAACAGACTGGGGTTACTACAGAGAACACGCACGTTGATACTTTAGTTTAACTGGTAACCTCTGATTCTACCCCCATTGTCCTCGTCATGTAAGTAAGTGGATAATGTTGTTGATGTCAGCATTGTGAATGGCAAACTAAACTGAACTACTTGCAGTGCTGTACATACATCTAACACACAATTGGAAGCCTGCTTTTCTTACAGTTAAGTTTTATGGTATAATCCCAATTTTTACATTGCCTCTCTGTATAGGTTAGGACTCCAGAATCAATCCACATCCCGTTGCATTTTACAACGAAACTATTTTTCCTACGATTTTCCGCTTTAAGGCGGAGATGCGAGGTGACATTTATATGAAAAGTTGCCAGTTGTTGGGTCTCGAGATTTAAAAAAAAAACTTGCCTATAAATTCACTGCCAATCCTTGCAGCGTTTATAACCTATTTTTTTATTTCTTTATGAGGCCCTCCAAATATCTTCAAGCGTTTCCTCTCGGCCAGAAAGCAAGGACGTTCCTCAAAATGAGTCATTTCGCTCAGTTAACGATAGCACAGTGCTCCCCTCTGACCAAGGACACCCGTCAACATTGGGGCCAGCTGACCTCGACCAATTCAGGTTATTCATCAGGAGTTTCTTTCATACTAAAATATTGCAAACCTAGAATTTAATACCCACACACAAAAAAAAACTCTCTAAGAAACTGGTTGACCGTAAACATTTCGATATAGAAGTGAACAGAAATAAAACAAACGATTAATTTACGTTTAAAATTTTGTTTCAATGTTCTAACGTTAAACATTGCCAAATACATGTCTTAGTTTTGTTAGAATGAAACACTATTATTGACAAGCGCTTAGAATAGAAGTCTGGGAGTCTAATGTACTTTAATGAGAAACATATCATTATGGCAACCATCATGTGTGATCTCCAATAAATATAGTTCTGCCGGTCTCCATCAGCGAGTCCGGGGTCAGCTTTCCATCTTTCCAAGTCTAACAAGGTCGTGTTGGGGCGATCGTCCTTCAGATACAGCCTCCCGTCCCAGTCAATCATTCACTTTATTGTTTCCTGCCTGAAGCCAGCGGTTTGTGTAATTTTCAGCAAAAGAGGGAAAACAAAGCATTAACTCTCATCACCTGAAGTTCCATCTCGTGTCTAATGATGGAGGCGCTGTGATAAAACGGTAGCTAGCAGGAAACGGAGCTGCTGCTAACAGAGCTCAGGTCCTTGGCAATGCTTGTTATCAGCGGTGGCATTACTGCTTGGGAACAATCAGTGTAACTGCAATAATCATCAGATGAACGCATCACTAACAACACCAAACTATCAGTTGCTGTCCGTCGCATTAGTCTCTTTTTCCTTCATTTGTTTCCACTATTTTGAAACAGATACTGGCTGCCAATCGATTACCCCAAAGTTTCTAAACTTTTAAAAGTTCAGAGCACTCGCCGGAGACGTTCCGTTGATGAAATATTCTATTGTTTAAAGGCGATCACACAGGGATACTGCCAGTGTATTTTCTACTTCAGGCAAAGGAAAACGACTGTCCGTGCTTTGGAGATGTGTCGGTGATGGGTATCTTCCGCCTGAAATGTTATATACGTGGGCTGTTCATAATAAAGGAGATCTTCATGGCATCTATCTCTGCTACAAACTATTCGTTCACTGGCCAAGTTCCCAACGGGTATTCAAATATATTTTCTCTTGCTGTAAGTTACCTTCTGCAGATTACATGACTGTGCCAGTGTTAGAGACTACAAGAAGATGAGAAGGTGGTCTCTTTCCTTTTTCTCTTCTCCCGTTCCTCCTCTGACCATGACAAAGGTTTTGATTTTTTTTTATATAAAGGGTACTGCCTTGCCAATTCAATATATACTTGCCTGTGTGCAGTCTCTTTTTTAAGAAATAAGCCAGGTAATCCTGAATTCTACAAGCAAGGAGTTAATTTTATTCCTAAAATCCACTCAAGGTAAAAATATTAAGTAATGTTGAAAATGTACAAATCCAGCCTACTTTCCACTAATGCGCTCAAACACACAAAGCATGTGGAAAAACAACCTAACTTTGCAGAGTATCAAATGCTTAAATTGGCTAAGTCAAGGCAATGCAAATAAAGAAGTGATGTCAAATAAAGATTGTGTCTGGATAGGTCAGTTTTCACAAAAGCAGTTACTTTGCAGGCAATCGCTGCTGGGTCTCCTCCTAAATCACAGTTACTGGGTTGAAATCTTCTTGGGGGGGAAGCTTCATGCCATGGGTACTGGGGTCAGGCAAAATGTTGTCCCCCTTTTCAGCCCTTTAGGAGGCAACAGCACTCAGGTAATCTCCTCCATTAACCTTTCCCCTGGTCTTTTGAACTGAGCCCCCTCTGGGACCAATTGGCAGGGCTCAGTGAGACCACTGACACTGGGTTTACCTGAGATCCACAGCATGATGAGATGATAGAAGCTACCAGCCATCCAATTGTCTGGAAGGTGTCTAAGACAGGGCTTCCTCCTAAAATGGATTAGAAGTCTTGCCTTGAAGAAATTAACAGTTCCCAATGTGAAGTAGATAAGAGTTAATTGTTCGTATCACGGGCTGGTTTCCCCTGAATTTTAAGCTAACAGGGTGTGGACCACATTGACCTGTAGGATCCAAACCTATGTTTCTCTCTTCACTGATGCTGCCTGGCCTATTGAGTACTTTGATGCACTTTTTGCGTTTATTTCAGTAAGGTACAACCAATGTGAAAATAAGCCAATGAACCCAGAATAGCTAAAACCTCCAGTATTTACAACCCAGCCATTCAAAAATATTACCAATGCCTGTATGTAGTTCTACCTGGAAGATCATTCCAGAAGTTGCTATCTGTTGTGCAAAGAAATTCCCTTGAAACTGATCGAACTATATTTGTCTTTAGCTTACGCAACTGATCGTTAAACATGTTTTAAGTCACATAATTTTGAACAATTATGTCAAATTTACCCTTTTACTCATTTTTAGGTTATTGCCTGTTTTATATATTTCAAGGAGTTTTAGTTCTCTAACCTCAACATCCTCTCTAAGGTGTGAAGTGGGAAGTGAAAGCTTGTTTAAAAATTAAAAAGGATGGCAGCTGTTGTCAAACAAATTTGGCAAGGCATGTAATTGGATTGTGACAATGTAGACAACAAATTGTATTATAGGACTACGTTTAGACCATGGCTCACGTCGTGTAGGCCTTATTAAGGGGAGTTTGGTAACCACCATGCTGGTAACCACCATGCTTTATTTTTGCTTGTTTGAAAGTTTATTATTGCTTACGACTTTACATCTGATTGTACTGGTACGGCTCACAGCCACTCACACATTTGCACCAGACACCCCCTCAGTCACTTCCGTTGGGATGCTCAACCTTTCCCTCTCTGCTGAGCGCAATGGAACAGAAGAGGCCAGGGTTACAGACAAATCCAGTCATATCTTTCTGAACACTCACCAATGAACACTGCAGATTTGAGATGACAGAGTCAGTAATGTCAGGGCCCTTCCTCTGGACAGTCTGGATCAATGATTCATATTGTATCTTCGTTCTTAAGCAGGGACATGTAGAACAGGTATTGCCCATGGTGGAGGGAGACAGGGAGGCTGCAGCGCTAGAAACATCAGAATGAGGGAAATGCTGCCCGTGGCTTGTGAAAACATAGTGTTTTGACAGGAGGACAACCCAATTGGACTCCAATCTGCTGCAACTGTGACACTATTTTCCAGATATAACCCTCAACTGAGTCCACCCCACCTTCCCAGCAGTTCCAACCCCTGCCCCACATATACCTGACCCAAGCATCGAATTGAGTGCAGCTCAAATCTGTAGGCATCGCTGCCACTCACACAGAGCAGGCAGTGAGCACAGGCCCACAATCCATTGCCATCCACATCACAGTCCAATAGCATTTGGGGATTTAGCTTAACTGAGATTTGTAATGATTCCTCATATACCAATTATTTAGAGACCATCATAAAACCTGAAAATTTTGTTTAATTCTACAATCTATTAACTATTACAGGAAATGTATTAATTTTTCATAACAATCTTTTTTTATAGCCAGCTATCACCAGTTGGTGGTCCATAAAAGTTGATATAAACATAAGGAAAAGGAGCAGGAATACACTGTATGTTTCCTTGAGCTTGCTCTGTCAACCAAAAGCTCAGCTCCACTTTTCTGCCCATTCACCCATTCTTCCATTTCCATACTACACTTGCATGCTAACTTTTGTGTTCCTTGAAAGAGTACAACTAAGTCTCGGAATGTCAACATTTACAAGTTTCATGCCTTTTAAAAAATATTCTCCTTTTCTATTGTTATGACCAAAGGAAATACCTCATTTCCCCACTTTATGCTTCAGCTACCATCTTATTACCCATTCTCTCAACCTGTCTATCTCTTTTTACAATATCTTTGTGCCCTCCTCAAGGCTTACATTTCCACTTACCATTGTATCATCAATAGGCATAGATACACATTACTCTTAATCTCTTTATCTACAATTGTAACATAGCTGCAAATAACTGAAGACTCAGTTCTGATGCTTGTCTCACTATAC